AAACTTATGCGATAGGGAGATTAATTTTTATTTTTAATTACAATTTTTATATATGAAAATATATTAATACGATATATATATATATATATATATATCGTATTAATATATTTTCATATATAAAAATTGTAATTAAAAATAAAAATTAATCTCCCTATCGCATAAGTTTATAAAAATGGAACACACATTTGATCGAATTTACGACACCGGAACGAAATTCTTGCGTGCATCATGACGAGAACGACGATGATGATTTTCAAACGTTGCTAACATATCAAATAACAGACACTCCCCCCGTTTAACACCTGTTTAGGAAATATCGCGTATGTACAATCTGCCGAATGAATTATGAGAGAAATTCACGATTATCTTTCTCTAATTGGTCACGTTCGGAATTTTATCTTTTATTAATTAACGTGCATCATTCGTGGGAACTTGATTAAACTGATCGGGATATTGTTTTGTTTCGTTTTTTCGAAATAAATAAAAACAATTAATTGAAAATTATTTGGAGAATACATTTTTGACAAGAATCTTATATAAATATATACACACAAACATATTATATTTAATTAAAATATTGATTAGCTGTTAAAAAAATTAAACGTATCTTTAAATATAAATTAAAAGGGCATTAAAAGTTCAGCGATAGTACTCGAAGCAACCATATTCCTTCAAAATTGTTCCAAGATCTTTCCCCTGACCGAAGGAATAGCAAAAGTCCGGAAAATAATCCCCCATAAGGCTCCTTACGATGAATTATGGGGTAGAGAAAAGGTATTGGATCTATAAGGTGGATAATAGCGCCCTTCGTACTACCACCACTGCGACAAGTGGCCCCTTTTTTTTCCCTATTGTCCTTTTTCTTCTTCCTACTTCCCTTGCAGGTACACAGGTATGTTACATACATTCGAAATAACGTGTTATGGATTTCTATGGTGTGGGAATACCACTTGGAAACACCTTGCTTATTGCGAAGCATTTCGTGATTATTTTTATTACGAAATTACTTTTCATTAAAATCGATTTATATTCAAATGTGATTCTAATTGTAGAAATTATTTGCTATATTACAATGGTACATCATTATGCGAGACAAAAAAAAAAAAAGGAAAAATATTCTCCGAATATTATGAAATTTGTTAAGAATAAGAAAACACAAAGGTGATCTGTCACACGCGTGCCCCGGAAGGTTCGGTCACGCGTTTCCGTATCTTCTTTCAAGAAAAAAAAAACGAAAAAAAAAAAAAAAAAGAGAAACAGAAAAAACGATTTGTTTCATCTCAGAAAAAGAATTCGACCGTTTCTTCTATAAGTTACAAAAAATCTCGGATCTAACGAATAATTCACATTTATTCTCTCTCTCTCTCTCTCTCTCTCTCTCTCTCTGTCTCTTTTAATTTCATCTTCTTCTTCTTCTTTTTCTTTTTCCTACCTTGATTAAAAATAAAACAACATTCGTTTTTTTTTTTCTTTTACAAGTGTTCAAGAACTTTATCTCTGTATAAATTGGAAATATTTATAATTACCGTGTAAACGCGAAATATTTCAAATTTGCAAAGATTTGAAAGAATAGAAGGAAAAGAAAAAAGGAAATCGAATAAGGGGGGAGGGGGAAATAATTTAGGAATAAGATTATAATTTTGTTGTTTCAATGGGCCAAAAAAGTAAAATGTTTTAAAGCTACGTCGTAAGTTTGAAAAAGTAAAGTAAAGTAAAGTAAAGAAAAGAAAAGAAAAGAAAAGGAAAGAAAGAGAATCCTGGGAAGCAAGTTCCCGCCAATTTGTTGGCGGCTGCTCGAGGCAACCTAACGGCCGTTGGTCCGAGATACTACCTCGAAAGTGGCAGGTGCAAGCCGGGCCAAACTTCATTAAACGCAATCCCATCTGCGCCCTCATACATCCGAGAGAGAAAGAGAGAGAGTGAGAGAGAGAGAGAGAGAACGTCTTACGAAGGAACGAGCAAAAAAGAAAACAAAAAATAACAACTTAAAAGGAACAAGACGTTGACTATTTTTTTTCTTCTTCTTCTTCTTCTTTTACATCCCCCCACAACACCCTACCCCAACCCACCCCACCAACCCTAATCCCAAATCTTAACTTCTTCTAGTCATCCTCTCAATTCGAAATTGTATGAACAATATTCGCATTGTCAGTCCTACGTTCCATTATATTTATTTTCTCATTCTTATTATTATTTTTATTCTTTTTCTATTCTTCATTTCCCTTTTTTTTTTTCTTTTTTCTTTTTATTTTTTTCTTTTATTCACGAAGACACCACCGACTAACGGATGTCGTTGCGGAAAAAAATGAAAGGAAGGAAGCCCGAACGATTCAACGCGAATCAAATTTCTTTCCATCGATCGATCGATCGATCAATCGAAAACGCTTCCTCTTTCTGATTTTGTTCTTTTTTTTCTATCTCTCTCTCTCTCTCTCTCTCTCTTACATCAGACCGAAGAAATACGAGAACCTATTTCTATCTTTATTTTTATTCGATTACTTTGAAATTGTCAAATTATTTAAACTATCTACTACTAATATACTAATCCTTTAAAAATAAAAAAGAAATCCGAAAAATTCTTAAATAGAGATCACTTTAGATTTGAAAAGTTTTTTAAGAGTACCCCGGAAGCCTGCCATCCGTTAAAAATAATCCGTGAAAGGTTCTAAGAAGCTTCTGTACGTTACGATTTAATTAAGTTCCCTTGTAATCTGACTATCCTGCCTATTTTTTTCTACTTTTTCTTATTCACCCACCAATTTTTAATAGATGTGCTAGCCAATCAACCAACCAACCAACCAACTTTGACCACTTCGTGATTTTTCAACATACATTTGTAAATACGATTTGAAATATTTGTCAATATAAATAAAATCAAATATTATCTATATATACATATTTCGTAAAAAAATAAAATGAAATGAACAATAAGTTGGTGGTGGGCGTGACCGTGATCTTTTCATATTTTCTATCATTCTCTTATTCTTTATGTGAGCTTAACAGCTGCCCTTTTAACCAAAAACCTTCATCGAAAAACTCCTCCGCAACGATAGTTCCTTCAGATAGGCGAATACCACCCGAAGGATCTTCCGAATAAGCATCCCTGTGAGGGTGGTGCTGGTGATGGTGGTGCTGGTGGTGGTAGAGAACAGCTGGTCTGGTCTCTTCTCTTATTTTCATCTTTAGTCAAAAAGAGAACACGAATAAGAGAACGTATTTATAGCTATGTTCTTCCTTCTTCTCTTTACCTAACACTTCCTCTCCTACCTCAACCTCCTCTCACTCTCTGCATTGAATTTTTAACGGTCTCTTATCCATTTTTTACAAATGTTTTTCATCCTTTCTATTCTTATTTTTTCTATTTTCTATTTCAATCAAAAACAACGTACGAGAGAATTAGACATTTTTCTTGTTCTTTTTGAAAGAAAAATATTTCTTATATTTTTGTGTGTGTGTGTGTATGTTAAGTTTTTAAACGAACGATATGGAAATAATATCATCGTAGAAACGATCGAATTTAGTCTCGTTCATCTCGAGAAGAATTGTTAAAACTATCAAGAATGAAATTCGTGAAAAGAAACAGAAGGTAAAGTGTAATTTTAAACTGGAACGCTGTTTGTTAACAAAGTCAAAGTTATATTTCTTGACATTTTGGAAAGATCTTTTTTAAGAGGCGCATCTGCATCTTCTTATAGTAATCGACTACATTTACCAGCTGCTGCTGTTGCTGCTGCTGATGCTGCTGCTGCTGATGCTGATGCTGCTGATGCTGATGCTGCTGATGCTGTATTCCCCATCACCCGTTTTTCTTTTCTCTCATCTC